GATCCTCAAGTGGTACGCTACAAGATGATGGGACCTCTAATTAAACAGCTGTATTGTTCATGTTTCAGTGTACTTTTTTGTATTACTTTATTACCGACAGCGCAAGCAAAACAAAGTTAGTAATTCTCATAGACGGTACAGAAGGTATATACCAGTATATACATCGTAATATGGAATACGTATAGTGCGATGTCGATTAGATATCATAATTAGTCTACCTTGTTTAAACCGTTAACTTTAGGTCGCATCCCCTTGCTTACTAGCAGGAGACGCCACTGGCACTTTCTTACCTTTCAACCATTTGGTTAGTTTAGAATCACATCTTGAGCACGTTATGTGCGGCGCCCACTTCTTATCCTGATCTTTTAGTTAACATCTGAAATACAACCCATACGATATCTTGAGAAGTTTAGAAATCGGTCGTCGTAATATTTTTGTGAATTCATCATACATATAACAAAATGTATCAGGATGATTAATACACCCACGTGTGATTTTCTTCATGGTTGCATAGATGCTTCATGGTCATGTCTTGAATTTGATAAACTTTTATTTGGGTGGCCGCCGTTATGCAAGAAAAAATAACAATACACGATAAAAAATAACGCAGACGAAAAATTAAATAAGTCCAACGTAGACGTATTTTATACATCCCACAAAAATGAGTTTATATTAAATGTAATAAGTTCCAAATAATATGCACATTAAAAAAATACGTTAAAAACCTTGAAATACGCCTTAAATGGGAATTAATTTGCGCTATTAAAACATTTTTGGTCCTCAACTTGTAATTCTGACGTGATGGATACATTGTTTTCACATTTTACGTTACCTACTGATGTATGAAGTTCTTCACCGTGCAGTTTGTACCAAAACCTTTGTTGACTAGTGTAAGCGATGGCATTAGCGTAATTCTTACAAAAATCTTTTGTTTCCGTTGACGTACCAATATTCGATTAAAGGTCTTTAAAAAAAACTCTACTTCTGTTTTTTTGTGTAAAACATAGGTTAAAATGCTTAAGTAATTAATATTAAATAAATGAAAATGGTTTAATTAAATAATTTATTGATTCCGAGATCATATTCATGCTTTCGCACCTGGCCCGACCAGGTAAAAATTTCACGAAACGCCTCTGTGTGTGTGTGTGTGTGTGTGTATAT